TGCACACCTAATTGAACGTGTCGGATACACAAAGTAACTCATACGGCTTCATTTTCGAATCATCTGTCTAACTCACCCGGTTGCGTGCTCTTGCCGTGAATCAGTTTCGTCTGAAACCTTCTCATTCGATGTTAAAACCCTGGATGGATGCGGAGTCAACATAGATCGTGATGCTTGCTTCCGCTTCTATTGTTTAGCCGAATTTTTCGATTGTGAATCCTGCAGGAAGATATCCGGCTTCGGTTTATACAACATAGACGCATCGCGTCCATGAACAATCTTTGGATTGTATAATATCTGGCTTGACATGAATTCAGGAATGTGAAACTTAATAATAATAATAATAAGCATTACAAGAGAGGTTGAAATAGTTCCATCGTATGGTTTTTAATATGCCTACGCCTTTTGCCGGTTGACAGAGTTCTGTGTAACTGCACACTTGGTCGAACAGTGATAAAAGCCATACGAATCACGAACCGATTATCGTCTTATGAATGTTTGTGCTATGATTTGTTTGACCGATATTCTGAAGTTAGACCAGGCTGAAGTGCATGCATGCACGGGTGCGTGCGTTTGCGCACACTCATGCGAATGATTGTATGAAGGGCGAGGTAGAGGTATTTCTCTCTCTCTCTCTCTCTCTTTCGTTTTCTATTTAACTTTGTTATAGATTTAATTCTTGAAACAGCCCTATCGTCGTGCTACAAAAGCGACATCGATTTACTTGCAGGTGACAGACTGTCTGATCTATTGTATGCAGACGACATTGTGCTGCTAAGCGAAGATCCAGTTAAGTTGCAAGCTTTTCTGGATAGTTCGAATGCCAATGTAGCCACATTCGGTATGCGTTTTGCCTCTTTAAAGTGTAAAATGTTACTAGAAGACTAGGTCGGTCCAGCACCCATACTTACTTTAAATGGGGAAGTAATAAAGCAGGTGGATAAGTTTTGTTATTTGGGCAGCTATATCTCACCCAGTGGAGGCATCACAGATGAAATGTCTGCTCGCATACAGAAGGCTCGGTTGGCATTTGCCAATTTGAGACATTTGTGGCGCCGTCGCAACATCCGGTTGTCTGTGAAGGGTCGAGTGTATGCTGTGGTAGTTCGACCAGTTCTGCTATATGGAGCAGAAACTTGGTCATTAAGAAAATGGGATAGAGATAGACTGTCGGTGTTTGAACATTGCTGTCTACACAGCGTCGCACGAATCTGGTGGGACAACCAGAAGAGCAATACCGAGGCTCGGCGCAGAGTTTTAACTAACCGTGGTCGTCCGCTGGAGCAAATGGTCGACCTTCATAGGTTACGTTGGTTGGGACATGTGTTACGCACGTCACTAAATAGGTTGCCACGGAGAGTAATGTTGGTCGAGTTAGGTATGGGGTGGAATAAAGCTAAGAGTGGTTAAACTAAAACATGGAATGAAGGTATGAAAACCTTAACCATGAGTCTGGGTCAGACAGATCCCGTTAGGTTCCCTGGCTGGGGGCCTCGAAATGATCGTAACCGGTGGTTAGAAACACTGAGTGATATGGCTGGATGTCGTAAACAGTGACTTTTGTGTGTCTTCTCAATTTATTTGCTAACTTAGACCACTACTCCATTTTCTGTTCCACATTGCTTTCAATTTTCTTGTCTTTCTCCTAATTTTCATTCAAATGGGCCACCAAAAGACAGCAACCAAAGCCGGCGCATGAATATGCGTGGTTAATGGTTGTTCAAACTGAACTGAAACGGAGAGGTATCTCGATCCACTGTGTAAAATTCTTGCACTAATTTAGGCCTTCTATCGTCGCGACGACCGTGCTCAGCAGCTCACTGGTTGGTTGCACGTTAAATTTCGGCTCTCATAAAACGTAATCATTTTCAGTTTGAACAACTCTTCACTTTGATTACTCTGGTTAGAGTACCCATTAGGTCGATTATTGAAAAGATGGGATGAGAATAATCGAGAGGTTCAAGATGGTGTTAAGTTAGCAGTATAAAATGTGACTAGATGCGTCCTGTCTATTTTCATTTTTGAGTAGGTTGATTTCGAGGTCCCCTAAAAACAACCGCTCAAGTTCACTGATCCAGTTTTTTATTCTTCATATACATTGGTCTTATCTGAACTTTAATTTGAAGCAGTCGACCATCAAAACGAACACTCGTTATACACATTGTATCTGTATTTCACACATGTCTGAATCCAAACTGTGCCAAACAAATCATAGTACAATAATCTTAAGAAAAATGGAAATTTCCATCGTTTATTCATGGGTGGAATACTGTGAGGTTTCCGAGGTCAAGGCAGTTGAACGTCCTTGAGGAATCTACAACCGGATTGTTTGGCTAACCAAAGCCTCACCCACAAGGCAGCGGGACAGTGTGCAAAAACCGCAATCTATTCGGGGCCGGTATCAAGTCTATCGGGTCCTATGCCGTTTGAACGAGTTCAAACGTCTAGGGTGCCCAGTACACCTCGGTGACCACTATCACAACCAGGAAAAGGTGTGGGTGTGGTTTGTACGCCTCTTCTTGACTGGAACCAGGGTTCTTAGCCAACTCCTAGATGAACTGCCAGCGGTTCTCCATCCCGGATGTCGGTTTTTCATCCTCTGCCACGAGAAGGCAGTGAGTAGAGCTTCCTCAGCAGAGACTGTTAGAGACGTTTGATCGTATAGGAGCATTTTGCGCGAGGTGCAAGGGAAGAGTGATCAGCCACAACCCAAGATATATCCACTCCCGACCATACTGAGACACTTTCGGAGGCTCACGTTCATATCCACGTGTACGAGTATCCACACATGTCAGTTGTGGAATTGGTCTACTGTGCTGGTGGACATTGCTGCATGGGTTTTATCCTATTCTTCGTGATCCGGAAAAAGACCCAAATGAGTCTGAAAATTTCCAAAACCCATTCTGTTCCAATTTTCAAACGGATCAGTGCGTTCAAAGCAGGTTTGCAATCAGCCTTTCGGGTACTCCGTTTTAAACTTGACGAAGCTCTCTCTCTCCCTCGCTCTGATTTAGAGTTGTTCAAACTTTCAGCTCAGTGTGAACAGCGCGATCCCGGATATGCCTACTTGGTGAGCAACAACAACTCATAACACTGGTCATGCACATTGCACAAACCTGAATTACGAGGTCTTTTGTTGAGTTTATCCTGCTTTTTCGACGGATAATGGTGATAAACAAAAGAAGAAAGATAGTTTAATCCTCAATAGAGCGACAAAAATGGTGCGCACTACTGATGAGCCACGACAAGGACGTCGTCGAACGAAGACCTGGCATGAGAGTATGAAAACCCTAACCATGGGACTAGGTCACTAGGCCCCGTTAGGCTCCCTGGCTGGGGAACCCGAGATCATGGTCACCGATGGTTAGAGACACTGAGCGATACGGCTGAGCGTCTCAAACAGTGGTGCCCATGCACCTACTCATTATTCTTACAACATCATTCCATATGAATTCTCTATCTTCCGCTTGAATTGGCTCTCACGATTCCAATCTCCATTCTGCTCTTTTCTCCAAACGCGTGACCGAAAGAGAGCAACCCAAACCAACGCACGAAAGCGCATGGTTGATGGTTGTAAAAACTGAACTGAACGACAAGGATGAAGTAGTTGTTCCTTGCTCTTTTTCGGCAACTGAAATACGCGGTAGTATTTTACCAATACTTAAGGCAAAGTAATTCTGTGCAATCGGCTACGTACGCTAGTACCAAATACGTAAATTCATTATTTTACTCTAGGTGTGTCAATATTGAGCTCCGTATAACCGGACACATCATTTAGTTCCGATCTGATAAACGATCAAGCTCGAACATTTTTGCCATTCAACAGAACCTTCAGGTCGCCTAATGCTTCTCTTTCGTTATTTGGATTGCTACAGTGTGATGTGAGTAGCCTTTTTCTTGGCAGTTGTCCGACGCTTTCACACCACATTCTTTTCCTGCTTAACCATTCTAGGTTGGTGATTGTGGTGCTGTGTTGGGCAGTTTCATACCTTCTCCAATATCCAGCTATTCTCCAGAAGCCGACAGTGCTGGTGGCTTTACTCTACCGACAGAGTATTCTCCGTTGGACTGGAAAGCGGAATTACTGGTCAGTCCGCATAATGCGGACAACGAGATGGACGTGAATCGACTCCGGTCCAGTCATCCGACCCACGAATCTGCTTTCGTGATCCGAGATGACCGTCTTTTGGGTGAGTAGTCCTCGGATAAACATTTCCGTCAAACTCGGAGAGCTATTTGTATTTTGATCACATTTTTGCTGTTAGATACCATTACGAGGGGTGAGCAAGAAGTTTCCGAATGCAC